GGCTCTGGAATAGCGTGCTCAGAGCTGCAGGGGAGGCCTGCTGTCTGACTGGCAGAGAGAGTCCCACCACTCCCTACCCTGTGCCCTGGAAGACCAGGCTGCCCAGCCTGTCTACCTGGTAGACCTTTTCCTTACCCACTTCTTTTCCCATTCCTGTTGTGCACCTTGATGCCTGCAGGGACTGCCCTAGCTGAGATAGTCTCTAGGTCCTCCCTTCTGCCAGCTGGTGTCCAGGGAGGTGGGTCCTGTGGCCTCTTTTCTGCCAGCCAGAATTTCGAGGGCCTTGCTTCTCCCACTGCAGCTTTTGACGAAGTGCTGGGTCGTAGAGTGGCATTTCTTAACCTCAGCCATATGGAGATTTGGAGGGCAGAATTCTTTGTTGTGGGGTGCTGTCCTGAGCATTGCAGGGTGCTCAGCATCCTACCCAGCCTCTATCCACCAGATGCCGTGGGCACTTCCTCATGTTTACAATGAACAAAGTCTCCAGACAAAGCTACATGTCCCCTGAGGGGCAAAATCACCTTCACCTGAAGACTGGTGGTGTGCTGGGTGGATACTACCATTAAAAAAAAAAAAGAATAAAAAAATTATAATGTAACTCATGCAGTGAAGGTAAGTCCTTTTGGATGGAACATTTATTTAAGTCAATAAGTATTATTAATATTTATTAATAATGTGAGTTTAAGTGTATGTATTTTTTTTTTTACCTTTTATTTTGATCTAGTGTCAGAGTTTAAGAAATTTGTAGAAAGAATAGAAATGACTCTGATTATACCCCAGATACTAACATTTCCACATGGGCTTTCTGCCCCGCAGAGTCTCCTCTGCCCCTCCTTCTCCTGCCCCAGCCTTTCTGTCTCTTTCTCTCCCCCAGCAAGCTCTCTATGAGCAGAACACCAATTATAAGAAAAATACCATTTTCTTTTCTCTGAGGTGGCATTCCTGACTTTTGGATTCAGGCTGGTAAGTGAGAGTGATTTATAATCATCCTTGCCTGTGTTGTCCTTCCCATGTTAGGTCATGTCTGTAGTTTATGATAATCTGTGTCATCCATGACATTTTCAAAAGTTTAGAAAACATATCCAACCAAATCCTGAGGATCAAGTGCCCTTTCGTGTTATTTTTCTATATTACACCTTGATGACTTCGTTCAGAATCTTTATTTCTTAACATGTTTTGTTTGGCCTGTTTGTGTTTCTTCCACGTGGTGGTATCATCAATTAGCACACAGTGTAGAAAAAGCGTTTCCCCAATTTAAAAAATGATTCGTACTACGTCTTCTTTCTTAGTTCTGATTTGTATTAACTTGTAATTTTGTTTTTTGTTTTTTGGTTTTGTTGTTGTACTAATGCTCCATTAATTAGCTAACTTTTTTTTTCGTATAAATTTTTTTTTTCCCTTTTTTTTTTTTTTGGGACGGAGTTTCGCTCTTGTTACCCAGGCTGGAGTGCAATGGCGCGATCTCGGCTCACCGCAACCTCTGCCTCCTGGGTTCAGGCAATTCTCCTGCCTCAGCCTCCTGAGTAGCTGGGATTACAGGCACGCACCACCATGCCCAGCTAATTTTTTGTATTTTTAGTAGAGACGGGGTTTCACCGTGTTGACCAGGATGGTCTCGATCTCTTGACCTCATGATCCACCCGCCTCGGCCTCCCAAAGTGCTGGGATTACAGGCTTGAGCCACCGCGCCCGGCCTTCCTTTTTTTTTTTAAGATGGGGTTTCACCATGATGGCCAGGCTGGTCTCGAACTCCTGACCTCAGGTGATCCACCCACCTCGGCCTCCCATAGTAATTAGCTAACTTTTAAGAGAATAGACTATGTCATATAACAAGCAAGTTGGTTAAAGTTATCTTAAGGTAAAATATTGAAGATACTGCCTCCAGTTTTCCATCTCCAATTTTGTTCCTGTTCTACTTTCTTAAAATTCTAGTTTGTTTCCCTTATTCTTGGGTATCACAGGCACGTTGGACTGGCAGAGACAGTCCCACCTACCCTGTGCCCTGGAAGACCAGGCTGCCCAGTTTTCTCAATTCAAATTTGGTAGCACCTTGCAAATGATGATTTTTATTTTCTTTTTTTCAGATTGAAGAACGGATTCTTTATATTTTGGATTCCCTAGGTTTATCCAAACAGTATTTAAGAGAACTTCAAAAAAATTTCCACGAAGTAGGATACATTTTATTTTGTCTGTATTCGTTTCTAATAGATTGGTTTTTAAAATTTTGACAATATTTTATGTAGATTTTCTGTTAATTTGCCTTGAGAATCTAAGAACATTGGCAGAAGAGACAAAAGGAATTATGAAATCCAGTCCAGAGGTCCCATTACAGGACCTTGGTCGAATGGGACCCAGTGCATTTTGATTGTCTGGCACAGTGTTGTTTTAAAAATTAGAACTAGTCCACATTTGGCAGTTCCGACAGTACATATAAACCCAGAAGACCTGGCCCTACTGGGACTGAGTCTCTGTGTGATGGCAACTCACTACAACCCCTCCCTTCAGAAGACTTCCAGCTTCTCTCATCCCCGCCACTCCCAATCCCGATCCACAGGCCCACTCCCTCTGCCGGTGTGAGCCTCGTGGCCACTGTGGCCCCCGCTTTGGAGAGCCTGCTGGTCCATCCTTCCTGCTTCGGCAGAGCTGTTCTCCTTGTTCTGAAGGGCCTGCGCCCCGTCTTCCTGGCTCCTCAGGGTCCTTGCAACAGCAGGCACTGCTTTCCTCTGCTGCACTCAACCTCTCTCCCACTCCACTGCCTTTCAGTGTGCAAAAACGCAACGATGTGTCCCACATTTTCGAAATCTCTCCCTTGAAGTTCCCACCTGATATGCAGCAAAGTACAGTGGGAGATGGGCAAAGCACAGTGTCCCTTGTTTTAGTCATAGTGCCTGAAATGTGGTAGGATCTCAACTGTTGTTTCAATAAAGAAATGAGCAAATACCTGAATACTAATGTAACAGTACCAGCTCTACACCTTTCAGCATTATTATTCTCATGAGTGTTAGCTTTCTTAAAAAATCATTTTATTTTCTGGCTGGGTGCGATGGCTCATGCCTGTAATCCCAGCACTTTGGGAGGCCAAGGCGGGTGGATCACCTGAGGTCAGGAGTTTGAGACCAGACTGACCAACATGGTGAAACTCCATCTCAAAAAAAAATTTTTTTTCTTTCTTTTTTTTTTTTTTTTTT